GCCGAAGCCTTAGTGTGTCTGAAAGGGTTGTTGAGACAGCATCGACAATGCGAAACTATGTCATCCTTCAGTTGTGGACATGGTTTACTCTCTACCTTTTTCCTACTATACGCAAGACCTTTGTCCTTGTTCTCATGGGCCACCGCGTTGTAGCAGAGATGCTGCTCTTGCTGCTTGAATTTCGAGCCAAGCCTGGTTATGCGGCCCTGAAAGATATATCGGCTACAGCACAACAAGTTGAGATACGACTACAACAGTTTTGCTATTGGCCGATGCAGTATATGAAATTGCGACAACGGAAAAACAACTGGGCAAGTGTCACGACTAGCCATCCAGATTATATCCGTTTCTACAACAGTTTATGGCTTGTTGCCAACGATGTCATCATCGGAATCGCCCTAGGTTCATATATTATTGAGAATGCAGACTGGGTTGCTGAGCAAATCGGGGATCTCCTCCAGACCTATACGGTAGACGCACTTCAAAGCAGCATATCATGGCTCATGGGCTGGCCGGCTGGCCTCAAACTCAATGGTGAACTGGCGGCTTTCTTAGGAGACTTGTTCCTTTGGGTCATTGATTACTGGTCTAGTGAGTCTTGGGAACCTTCTCAAGAATGTATACCCTTTCTGACTTAAATATAGGTTGTATCGAAACTCTAACACCAGCATTGCCCCAGATGGTGTGGTTCATAGGGTTCTCCTCCTTTGCTGGAGCTAGCATGCCGATTGCCATGTTCTCTGATATGCTTTCCACCCTGACCATTCACATCTACTCGTTCTACCTTGCATCAGGACGTATATACCATTGGCAGCTCACCATTCTCCAGTCACTATTTCATCTTTTCCGCGGCAAGAAACACAACGTTCTCCGTAACCGTATCGATTCTTGCGACTACGATTTAGATCAACTCCTTGTTGGCACCATCCTCTTTACGCTACTCTTCTTCCTCTTGCCAACAGTTGCTGTCTTCTATCTCAACTTTGCCATCGCAAGGATGGCGATTATCTCTTTAAAGGCTGGCTTTGATACCCTTCTTTCATGTCTAAACCACTTTCCTTTATTTGCACTTATGTTGAGAATTAAAGATCAGAGGAGACTTCCAGGTGGCATACGATTTGAGCTCCGAGGTAGCCATGACTATAGGCACGACAAAGCAAATAATGCTGATGGATTGCCGCCTACGTCTGTTATCTACCTCAAGGTGTGTAGTTACCGATTACTCGTATGCAACATAGCACGCTCACACCATTCTTAGTCGATTCCTCTGACATTCCGGATCATGTTCAACCAATACTTCCAGATGGCAAATCGCATCCGGAAGCACTACCTGTCACCAAAAGTTTTCTTCTGCTTGCTGACGGGCAAGTTCGTGCCGCCAATTAACCGCAAGAACTTGTATAGTCTACAATATAGCATGTTGCCCGCTCGTCGGGCAACCATCTGGGAGATGTGGAGAGCGTTGAACACAGAGGCCAGACCAGCAAAGCGGATGCCGCTGCCTTATATCCCACCATTGTTCAATGCAGGTAGAAGAACCTCAGCGAATAATGGACGGGCTAGATGAATGGTAAACATGAGAATTGCTTGAGTAGTAATGAACAATAGCTAGAAGTGTCAATAAATTCTGTATAGATTGCTGTGAAAGCGAGTAGTTCTGCTCGTTGGAAAATGGTGTAACCCAAGACTACGGAGTAGGTCTCGATCGATGCACAATTACCAGATCTGGCCGTCTCTCAGTTGATTGTCAGAAGCCCCTGCGGGCGTCTATACTGACTCGTATTGTGCGAGCAATTTGTTGATCGTCATGAATTACAAGTGTTGGTCAGGCTCAGGCTAATACCAAAGGCACTCGTCACATTGGATGTAAATCGGCTATGCAGTTCGGTTGCAATTGCTTCCATCCTCTAATCTTACGCACATGAAATATGATTGGAACTTTCATTCTTCCAACCCCACCTCCCCGGATTCACGGCCCTCTTGATCCTGCATCACCCATGGGTTACTTCAGTTGGTACAGGTACAGTCCATACGACTTATCTTTCATGCTGTGCCTACTTGCTTTTATGTCTATGTCTATGTCTATGTCTATTTACCTAAGCAAGTTGGGCTAAAACCAGGATAGCCACACTTAGGTAGCTAGGTAGGCAGGTACACAATGTTTCATGGATTGACTTGGGTGATTACAGTAGAGACCTCTCAGCTCAAATTCTAAGTTTCAGAAGTGGTTACCCAATGATGTAACATTCTCCAATACTCAACACCACTATTGTTCCCCACGCTGCACGGCGTTGAACTCAGACAAGCTCAATGACCCCCCGACCCCTAAAAACGCCAACCTTGTTTTCTCCTCGGCGGAGACCAGAAGAAGTTAACAAGTTGTTATGATACGAATGCTGTGTCCGAAAAATGTCTGTGCAAACTAGCAATGACGACAAGCTTGCCGATGGTTGGTTGCCAGCGTGACTTACAGGACACCAATAGAAGTGTCTAACGAAGCCATTGTCAGATCGTCGGGTTATTCTCGAATTCCTGTTCGGTCCGCTCTACCAAATGTACGATACGCCGATGTGCTCTCATTCTCCATCGTCTTTTGCAACTTGAAGAATAGGCATTGACCCACCATTCCTAGGTACTACCTATTCAAAGGGTCTAGAACCCTCCCCAAGTCTCCCCGCCGTACTTTTATCTACGAAGTATGGTCAAACCCAGCTCTAAAGAATTGAACGATTTATAGTGGTGCCATCGTTTGGCAACAACACCACGCTTGCAGCACACCTAAACACCTCCCCTTTCCTGTCCCATGCCTTGTGACGCCCGCCAATTTGTCACTGACGAATACTTGTCCTGCCGAACCATCCATCAATTCATCCCGTCCATCCATCTCGAACAGGCTATCCCCCAACCGCTCAGGGCAGGCTGCTCCACTCATCACCACCTTCAACAGCATCTTCCCATTCTCGTCGGCCCCATCAGGCGGCATTGACGTCACTACCAGCTGCTGGTTCGACAAGACCTCAAGTCGTGACCCTGAAAGCTGAGGAAGCGTTGCCAAAGTCGTACGGAGACGAGGGGTAGCAGTGCAGCGCTCTGGGGTAATAGAAACTAGAGGCACATTTTGGCATCACCTGCTGCGGCTTATTTCACTTCCTGGTAAGTGATTGACACGTTCTCTTGGTCTCTTGATACTGTCATGCATATATATCTCCAAGGCTGGAGAGATCATCCTCGGCCCAGAGTCCCTTTATTACGTCTCCATCAGAACGTGAAATCGGCCTCCCAGTTCTCTGATTCATGTCTGTTTTTGTCATAGGTCAATTGCACTACCCATACAAAGTCCTTCTCATCCGCTTCTTGACACCATCTGCTACAACATCATCTTTCACATTTCTTCGAGGCAGAGCACATAAGGGAACTCGAGCTAGTAACTCGTATTAACACTGTTCGTAATGGAAACACAGGTTCAAACAACAACCCATCAGCACGACCCTTGGGCTGCCACCCATCAGGTCATTCTTCAATCAGCCACCATGGATCCTAAGCAACGTTTCTATAACCATTTCCTGGAGAGTGTTACAGGTAAGAGTGGATGTTGAGGTATTCAAATGCCCTCCATTGCCTAACCTCCATGTTACGTAGAACTCCAAGACCTGATCGACGAGCTGCCATCCATTGCAAGTGTCGGTGGTGAGCGCCAGGAGGCCATTGACCACATTCTAGCCAGTATCGCCAAGCTACAAAACGAAGTGTCAGATGCTGCCGATTACACACCTTCTTATGATAGAAAACAGTACTCCGAGGTAACACAGCTGGCCTCTTTGACTCGCTGCTTCGACTGACATTCACATGCTCGACAGACCATTAAGACTCTCCAGGACAAACTGAACGAGACAATTACTAAAATCACACCAAAGTCAAAATTTCAATTTCGTCGTAAAACCGACCACGTTGATATGGGCGCTCCTGAGAACGACCCTCGACTTAGCCCTGGAAGCCATTCTCGGGCCAAGCATGATACGTCCATTGTATCTACCATCGTCAGTCCTCCTTCGGCGGTAAAAGAAGACACTCTCGGCGAATTACCTCCTAAGGATGCGTACAAAAATTACAATGAAGAGATGGCTCGACCCAGCGCATCGTCCCTTCGTAAGCCCAGCTTCTCGGCTGCCAAGAACATTAGCATTTCGAATCATTCAGGGCTACACATTATTCTACCGTCTTCAGCGTCCCGTGCCACCTCTTCGGGCAGCCTCACTGATCTCAAGAATTGTATCATCGACATGTCTATTCCGACATCCTCGGGCTCAGCTTTCCCTGGCCTTGCTATTAAGAACGTGTCCAAGAGCCTCATCGTCGGGGGTCGTGTCAACGGCGCAGTCCATATCACAGGAGTGTCTGACAGCACTATAGTTGTTGTAGCCAGGCAAGTACGGATTCATGAATGCAGTAATGTAGACATCTACCTGCATTGTGGTAGTCATCCTATCATCGAGGACTGCTCAGGCATGCGATTTGCACCTCTGCCGGAGCCCTATGTAAGATATAGTCTTAGTATATGATTAGCTATACTAACAGGCGCATAGATGACTGACGCTGAGGAGCCTGAAGAAAACCAGTGGGATCAGGTCGATGACTTTAAGTGGCTCAAGGCTGGTCACAGTCCTAACTGGACCACTCTGTCCGAAAACGAAAGGCTCAGTGATGACCATTGGAGATCTGTCGTCCCTGGCCAGCCTGGTGTCAGTGTAGAGGAGTCCTTGAAAAAGCTGGGTATTCCACGGAGGTGATGACCATGATGAACAGTTAAAGCATGAAATTCATACCCAGCCACAGGCTTCATATCTACAGATTAGGTAGAACGCAACGCGCAATCATAAATCCTTTCATTTAATGCGAAACCCCAAACACCCTGCTGATAAGAAAGATAACAACCTTGCTAAAGGTGATACTCTAATTCCAAAAATCATACGTGGCCCATCATAAGAAATATTGGACGTGTATCATGACTCCATCTTGTCACCAGCGCTGATTTCATCTTTCCGATCTCTTCCGGTGGCTTCATCTCTTAATCGTTGTAGTAATGCTCGTTGTTTCTGGATGCGACTTTCAAGGTCACGGATCTCATCATTCTGTTCGGCGATGGATCGGTCCATGTCCGGGAGCTCACGAACCTGTGCGCGAGCACGCTGCAGCTTGTGTTTCAGGCTATCCGTGGCTCCAGGTACATCTTTGAAAGACAATGTAGGTCCAGAGGCGTTGTGACCGGTGGTCCCCGGTGCAGGCTCAGTAGTGATTCCAGCCGACGACTGAATACCGGCACGGACGCGGGCGAGGACGAGAGAGAGCTCCGAAAGGGCGTCTAGAGTATCCGGAGAGAACGTGGGCGGGAGGGCCAATGGGTGTGGGCCAGATGCGGATGCAGGTGCAGATGCAGATGATGGAGACATGGTCTGTCGTTCTATGATATGACTCGATTCAACTTTGACCGCTCGAGGGCTCGTCCGGGAAGGATGGTGGGAGAGAATCAGGCGACGTAGGCGTGGATGCGGTGTAGTATGATATCGGCAGGCAGTTCAAGGTGAGTATCTCTACCAGTATTACATACAGCTCGGGGAAATAGGCCGAGTGGGTTCTTTCAGCCTTGCATAAAAGCTCGTAATAGTGTCAAGTTTTATCACAGCTGGTGGTGGGCAAATGGAAAAGATCGATTGGGCCGTTGTGTTGTTGGGTTGACGGTCCGAAAGGGAAAAAAGGGTCAAAGGCCGACAGTGTGAGCTCATCATTATACGTTACAAAAAGGATCTTTATGTATACGACGCACAGTGTGAATACAAATCATGGCTGGTGAGTGACATGACATCAAACCCCCACCACTACAACGTGTTTCCCTGCAAAATCATCTGTCGTGTCTGGGCCCATCAAATCACGCATCATTTCTTTTACTCAAGACAGGCCCGAGTTACTCTCCGTCTTATCCTTATCTTCCTAGAGCCTCTTCTTTATACCTCGTCTATTTCTTTCTCATTTTCCCTGGATCCTCTTCTTCTTTCTTCTCACTGCTTCAGTGCAAGAAAAAAAGAACCAACAGACAGTAGTCATCATGTCCAAGACTGATCAAAAAGCCTGCCTCAGTACGTCGTCATGCCCCGCCCCCTCCAAATTCCAACAAATCCATTTTCATGCCCCGCGATCGCGATAGCAACAGCCCTGCCATGTCTCGTTATCCTAAGCAACGTCTGAAGATAACTACTCCCGTCGCTCAGGAATTGCCAATTGTCTCGCGACCAGACTGGATTGTTACATCGTGTTTTGTCCTCATATATTTGGAGCTGGCCTGGCTAATCATGTTGTTTTTGCATTCTTATAGTCGTCATTGACGGTTGGGGCATTCCCTCTGCCGACAGCCCCAAGGACGGCGATGCCATCACCAACGCCAAGACCCCCGTCATGGACGCTCTCTACAAGGACTCCAAGGGCTACACCGAGCTCGAGGCCTCATCGCTAGCGGTGGGACTTCCCGAGGGTCTCATGGGTAACTCTGAGGTTGGACACTTGAACATTGGTGCTGGTCGCGTTGTGTGGCAGGACGTTGTCCGAATCGACCAGACCATCAAGAACGGCCAGCTGGCCCAGAATGATGTTATCAAGAAGACTTTCCAGAGTGCTGCTGCTGGAAACGGCCGACTACACCTCTGCGGTCTTGTCTCCCACGGTGGTGTGGTAAGTCATATCATATACAGTTCCTTCTTTCAAGTATCAGTCACTTACACCAGAGCAGCACGCCAAGCAAACCCACCTCTACGCCCTCCTCAAGGCTGCCAAGGAGTATGGTGTGCCAAAGGTCTTCATCCACTTCTTCGGTGATGGCCGTGACACCGACCCTAAGTCCGGCGCCGGCTATATGCAGGAACTTGTTGATACTGCCAAGGAGATTGGCATCGGTGAGATCGGTACCGTTGTTGGCCGATACTTCGCCATGGACCGCGATAAGCGTTGGGACCGCCTCGAGATCGCCCTTAAGGGTCTTGTCCTCGGTGAGGGTGAGGCCTCTGAGGACCCCGTTGTTACCGTCAAGGCTCGATATGAGCGAGGTGGTGATCTTGATAGGGATGAGTTCCTTACTCCCATCATTGTTGGCGGCGATGAGCGCCGCATCAAGGGTAGGTTCAGTTTCAAATAGTTGCTTTTCAAACACGACCCCTAACAGCAGCACAGATGACGATACCGTCTTCTTCTTCAACTATCGATCCGACCGTGTCCGCCAGATCACCCAGCTTCTGGGCGATGTTGATCGATCTCCTCTTCCCGACTTCAAGTACCCCAAGATCAAGCCCCTTGTCACCATGACTCAATACAAGGGTGACTACCCCTTCGAGGTTGCTTTCAAGCCCCAGCACATGGGTAACGTTCTCGCCGAGTGGTTGGGCAAGCAAAACGTTGAGCAGGTCCATATTGCTGAGACCGAGAAGTATGCTCACGTCACCTTTTTCTTCAATGGTGGTGTTGAGAAGGTCTTCCCTCTCGAAACCCGTGATCAGTCCCAGGATCTTGTCCCCTCCAACAAGTCCGTCGCTACCTACGATCTTGCACCTGAGATGTCTGCCGATGGTGTTGCCGACCAGGTTGTCAAGCGCCTGGGTGAGCAGAAATTCCCCTTCGTCATGAACAACTTTGCCCCTCCTGACATGGTTGGTCATACTGGTGTCTATGACGCTGCCGTCATCGGCTGTGAGGCCACCGACAAGGCCATTGGAAAGATTCTCGAGGGCTGTAAGAAGGAGGGCTACGTCCTCTTCATCACAGCCGATCACGGCAACGCTGAGGAAATGAAATTCCCTGATGGAAAGCCCAAGACTAGCCATACCACAAACAAGGTGCCCCTCCTCATGGCCAACTACCCCGAGGGCTGGAGCCTCAAGAAGACCGACGAGGGTGTCCTCGGTGATGTTGCCCCTACCGTGCTTGCTGCCATGGGTCTGCCTCAGCCCGAGGAGATGACTGGCAAGTCCCTTCTCCAAAAAGCTTAATGTTTATGACGCTGATGAGAGCACGTATCTAAAATAAAAGTCCCTGGGATGGTGTAGCAGTAGTGGGTGTGGCATTAGCGATTTGTGGGTTGTTGGTTATTGTTGCGCGTGAGTCGATGCGATGACTCTGGAGTTGAGGGCGGCAGCGTTAGAAGTTATGCTCGGTTGCATAGACATAGAGTCGTAATCCTAAGAGAGTAAAACGACCAGTAATGGAGACGAATAGCGTTGCCTCTCAGTTTCTTGCCTGTATCGGTACAAATATCCAAGGGGATTGGTCCGCTCTAAGGCCATCAATAAAATCGATTGATAATACCAGTTTCTGAAGGGGTGGATCGAGGCACCGATGGGTAGACCTTATAGCGAGTGCATTAGGTACTTTCTGCTTGTTTCCTGTCTTTATTTTACGAAGAAAACGGCAGTGAAACACTCACAACAATTAGTCTACCCTACACTGGCCAGCAAATTCCCAAGACCACTCTTGCTAAATCTCCTCTGTGCATGAAGTTCGGTGTGTGATATGGGAATTGAGATTAGGTGGTTAATGATCTCTTAATCTTAAAAACCAATAATGCCCTTTCTTGACAGCTGGACTTCCCATATCAGCTAGACATAATTGTCCCAGCCATCATATGGGATAATATACCGACAGTATGAGTACTGCACAAGCGCATTTCTTGGGTCAAACCAGGATGGATACAAACAAGTAAAGTGCGAACCCCGTTTCCTATCAGGAACCTAATGGAATAGGCGTTTTCCCATGCAAAAGACCACTTTCGTCTGCTATGGTGACAGGATTGCCAAGGGACTGTCCCCGAAAGTATGGGGAAAGTGGTAGCAAAGCTAAATCAAAGTCAAGTCTTGAGATACTTGAATTCCTCAGATTGGATGAGTGAAAGGAGAAGGAATCGTGATGGTAGGTTATGAGGAGCATATCAGCTGCAGCAACTTCACAATACTATGGAGGCTCAACTTACACCAAAGCTTTTAGCCAATGGTGTACACGTTTACCAGTAAGTCTGGGGCCGCGTACGAAAGGGTCAGATCACAGATCAGCTCCCGCATCCTGGGCGATCGGAATCCACAGTGCTTCAGATCCGTGTAACCTCACGAGCCACATGCTCTTCTCTCTCTAATAAGTCGTCACTTCGTCTCAATTCGACGATCGCCCAGGGGTTATGTGTGGCTTCGAACAGCAGATATCTGCCAGGGACGCTCGAACAGCATCCTTAAAACATCCTAGTGGTCAAGGGGTCCCGCTCCGGCGGCCAAGGGTCCCCGAAAGGGCGAGTTAGCTCACGCATCTACGTAGTTTTGATGTGGGAGCCAAGAGAGGAAGGGTCCAGCTGTGCTTTGCTGTCTTATTGGTATACGTACCAATTCTGGTGACGATCGTGGGGGAATGGCAAGGTCCCGAAGATCGAGCGGAAATAAGCAACAGCCACAAAGTCGAGACCTTCGGCCGAATGCTAGGTTGGACCTGTCAAGCGGTGAATAGACAAAGAAGCAGAAACACACGTGCTTTGCCCCTCAACCGCTGTGGCTCGTGCATATGTATGACATGAAGACGGAAGACTTGAGTAATTGATGGTGACGACGGTCGCACTTGTTATACAGCAATCTGTAATTAAGCTTCTGTGCTGTGCGCTGTAAAGAACTGGTCCATACTACTAGGCATGAAACCGAACACGGAAGCTCATCCATCCGTTGCAAGTGGTCAGGATGTTTCACACATCGTGTACACATCTGTAACGCCTAGTAGAGATCAAACCCATGGGCCGTCCCGATAGACCTTGAAAGTTATTTGGGGGTGGGGGGCTAGGATGTTTGTGCTTCGCCATGATGGTGTAAAGTAAGGGTTTCATGATCTTCCGATTGTACGATGCAATAGAGTGATCGATCTCTGATAAGACAAGGACAAGATCCAAAGTACAACCATCAAGATTTGCGCTTCATCTTGCAATCTTTCCTTCATACCGGAGGCCACGACACTTCGCCTACAGCTTCGTGCCTGATGACGGTCTCGAACGAATCCACCGTTCATCAACACGTTCATCCATTCTAGATCCAGGGGGGAGCGGTGTCGACGATAAACGGGTGATCAACATGAAGATTATTCAAATCCCCATCATCTGGGGATCGCATTTTGGCATAAGGAGTGAGTCAAACCTCAATGAAGAGGGTGCCTCTAGATTTCTCTTTTCAGGGACGTTGATCGACACTTGTGCAAGAAATCAACCTCCCAAACGAAACAAGGGATTGGATGTTTTCGATGGACCCAAGCCATCTTTGCTCAAGCCTGTCCCCGATCCAGCTGCACAAAGGGTCGTCCCGTGGAGCTCGATCCGAGCTACAGCTGCGTTTCCTCGAGATCGGGAAGATTGAAGCGCCAATCTACCCAATCAGAACGTATCCCGTCGCTTATATCCGAAAGAGTTGTGGCAATGCGCGATAGAGGTGTATTGCCACTCAAGACATGAACTTTTGCGGGTTTTGAGAATTCGATTCGCATCTCAAAGTTTGGCATATACCAGTAATATTGCCACGGACAATCGGGTTTGATGAGGTGTGCATCTGATCGGAGATACATTTTTGGTGTTGTAGGAACCTGCCCCTGTCTATCAAGAACACACTTGTGTAGGAGTGGACGGAGAATCGTCGCGATTGGACGATTGCCATTGTCCTGTCAATCTCGTGACTTTCTTCAGAAAACCCGTTGGAAACCTTAAATATATGGCATTACTGTCACAATATTTTCTTGCTTTCATCCGTCATCCACTACGTAGGTCCTGGGCAAAAACAAGGAATCGAGATTCCGGTCTGTAGAAACCATTCGAAATGTTCCAAGCGCTCAGGGGACTCGACCTTGCAAGGACCCTGGATTTCCTCACTCGGATGACGGATCGACGTCACATGGCAAATGATCGGCAAACGAGAGCCTCAGTTGGGTTGTCAATGACATGTTCCTAGGGGTTATGGCTGGATTACATACATCGTGTCACATCGCACGCCGGAGAAGGCTGTGTCTGAGCATGTTAGCTTGCTGTAAACTGCAACAGGCAAGCACTGCAGAGGCATCACGAAATTGAATATCAAAAACTTGGAAAGGGTTTTGGGACGTGCATGGGCCTGTCAGGGATTAGGTACGCGTGGTCTCCAGCCAGAAACACCGTTAGTCCGGTTCCCGGTGATTTGTGTCAGGATATCCCACACATCAAAAGAGGGTATCGTGAGATGATAAGGTGACAAGTGCGAAATACTTGTTCAGATAAGCAAGGAAAGGAAACTGAAAGATAGCAACATAGAATGGCGATCGCAGATGTTTGCCTTTTAACATTGTATCTGGTTTGTTTGTGTTTGAGATGACTGGAGATCATTTTCCTGGCAGAGCTGAGTTTCGGGTATAGAGTGGGTATCTAGCAACCACCACAGCCCATTTCCCTGACTCTCGATAATTGGCCTGGTCTTTAGTTGACCCGAACTGTGTTGGATTTCAGAACCGCCGGCTCTTCTGGCCGTGTCTTGAGCAGAACAATAGGGCCATTTAATAGTTCGAAGCCAATAAGAGATCAGGGGACTTGACGCGTATCCAAGAAACCGAAGCAATGTATTTGGGAGACAGCATGTGAGTCGATAGTCAGTTCGGTAAATGAAAAGCATCCGGGCAAATGCACAAAGTGCCAGATTCTATTTCGCACTCGTCGGGAGTCTGGAAGCCTCCAGTCCAAATTCGCCTTGGTCAAGCCTGAGCCGACGACAGACAAAAACCAAGATCGTCAGCCAACTTTGACTCGAAGGGTGAAAGAAAACAGGGCAGCTCATCACTTAATGGAAATTTGTGGAAGACACTGAGCCTCACTTTTCTTTCATCCAACAAGCTGATTCTCCATTGGTCAAGATATGCTCTTCTAGCCCCCGCACTCAGACAAAGCTGGGGCGTAAGCGAAGGCGACGGAGGTGACAAGTCAAAGGGGTGTGATCGTAATAGGATTCAACAACGACCCTGAAAGTCTGCCCTGATATAAACCTGGTCCCTAGCGGGTCACGGAATAAAATCATGAGCGGGTTGGCGTGGTCATTGAAGAAAGGGGTGAACGAATTAGAGGTCCACACCATCGAGTGGTGCACCGAGGCGCTAGTTGAGCCCGTTAGAGGAGGTCCCTGCTTTTGGCTTTTTCTGGGTCCGATGGTCTCTGATCTCTATGCTTCTCCAACGACTTGGAAATCGGAGCAATGAGGGCTCGATCTACCATTCTAGCTCTTGCGTCCTGGTCCCAACCTGGCATCCTCGCTCAACCCAACCTTTCCCCCTCGCCGCCTTCGCCTTTTGCTTGTACCTACTGTGAATGGGTGCCGCCGCCGCGCCCCGGCACTCGGCTGCCCTGGCGGGTGCGCATCTGTCTTCGACTGCACCAGGAGTGAAGACAAAACTCTTCTGCATCTATTTGGTGGAGGCCCTGAATGCCCTCTTCCCACTGCCACTGCCACTGTCCTGAATTTGCCCCCCCAGACTCGCCATCGGCCTTCAGCCTTAATAAGATTCCTCCTGTTAAGTATCTTTCCAGGACGGGTTTTCCGGCTTGTGGCTTGTTTGCTCTTCTTGTTTCTTGAACTTAACTTGACTCCTGGGCTCTTCAGGTTCAGCTTGGACTCCTCGACCCCAATCCCGTCCACTCGTCCAGACCTTCTCTGCCCCCTCAGCTCCGTGCAACGGCAGTAAGCAGTCGCTTCTCCTAATTCCAGCTTCTTCACACCCCTCAACTTCAGTGCCACCTTGGTGCCACCCTGGTCTACTCATATATCCGCCGTTGGAATACTGACTCCACCGCTTGCTCTTTCTTCTTTCCAACACATCTCAGCCTTTGAAGCTGTAGTATCTTTGTTATTTCTGCACCGCATAGGCTTCCTGTCTTCACTACACGACACTCGGGGAGGCAGGTTTTTATTTGATCGGCATTTCGTATCAACACCTCACCACGAACGCGTCGTCGAGCCACCGACTTCAGTAACTCGCACAACGATCTAAATTCACAATCAGGCAGCAAATTATAAGAAGTACTAAATCACAGAGTGTTGCATTATTGCAAACCTGTTCCGACTCATATTGGAGCACCAACGAGGACTGGCACATCGAACGATTTATCTACGGTAGCGAATAAGCCAAGCTTCCAAAAGCTTCCTCGTTCGACCAAAGATCACCACCACTGACTGCGACTCTTTTTCGGGTGGATGCAACCTTTGTTTGTGGCTCGGCTTGACTGTGGAGATAAGTTCTAATTCGCGCCAATTCAATACCACCCACGCAAATACCACGACGCTTTTCGGAAAACCATCAATCAACGTCTTGTTAAATCGGAGAATTTTTGGAGATTTGGCAGAGGAATACCTCAGAAGGCTCTAATTGCCTTGAAGTAGTTTTTGGAAACGGTGAGTGTCCCAAAAACACCAGGTATTTTGCCCCTCTGAGACAGTGTAACCCGCGTCTCATCATCTTTCGTCATTTGGCGATGAAGCCTCGATCGATCGATCAGTCCTTACTCCGCAGCCAATAGGAGCTCGTCTCTGTCGTCTGTGAGAACCTTCATTGCTCATACCCTCCATCATCCCGCTGCTTCGTTAACCTCTGGATTGTGCTAATTATTCCCCTGACGTTCAGGCTCTCAGCCCATTGCAAGGTGCTTCCAGGCCCTACGTCACAGATCGTCGGACCCCTAGGTCTATACCAGGACCCTTCTCGGCGACCATTTTTCACGATATGCTTGCTGCTTCACAGTTCTGGAAATGCTAAACCATCCATCAATTTTATGAAAAACAATGCCACTTAACGAAACCACCTCCCACGGAACGCAACCTCCGCCGTCTTCGTCCAAGACTGGCCATCCTCTACCTCGACGTACCTCTCCCGCCAATTCTGTCACCCTGCGCCATCACCGACTGGCACAAGATGCATCAATCAACGCCGGACAAGGCTCAGGACCCGCTGTCAAGCCAACTAAGACAGGATCACCTCGACGAAACTCATCGGGCGATAGTCATGAGACTGGTCAGAGCGATCCCAACACATGGTTTGACCAGTCAAATCAAAACCCAACGGCAACTTTCGACAGCAACGTTATGGAAGGTAAGAGCCAGTGCTAGAAATTGAATTGAGTAGGAGACTGATTGGGTTGGCAGTTGACCCCCCTTTCTTTCAAAAAGAGTCCGATTCTTCGAATGAAGAGAAGATGTACTACAATCGCCAACTCGCCCCCCCTAAGCTCACTGCGGCACATAGCAGCAGTGCAGACGATTACAGAAGTGTCATCGATGATCTCACGGTAGAGATACAGAAGCTGAGGGAGGAGCTTAAGCGATACAAAAACACCGGTCCCGATATGCTCCGAAAGGAGAAGCTCTTCGAAATCAAGGTTCACGGACTGCCGAAAAAGAAGAAGAGAGAGTTGGAGGCAACACTCCGAGATTTCGCTGCAAGTCTTGAAGGGTCTCCCAACGCGTCATCAACACAGAAAAAGAAATCTCGACACTCTACTCGCGAAAACATGTATTCTGGATCTGGATCGAAACATGCTTCATCTTCCTCAGGGTCAAATTTTCGCCCAGCCGATTCTGCATACGCCTCTATGTCAACCGGCGCCAACTCGGGAACGTCTTTGAGCCGTCCTAGCATGGGTTCCCAGGCCAAGTCGTCTGAGGCGGTTGAAAGCTACCTCCGTGATATCCCCGAAGGGTTATACCCGAGACACATGATTATGACGGAGAAAGAGAGAAAGAAGCTTGTTGTTCGCCGTCTTGAACAATTGTTCACCGGAAAGATTGGTGGGCGCCATGTGGTGAAGAAGCAGCCCGTGTTGCCTAGTGGAAGTTCTGCAGCTCTGGCACCAGTTGTCGCCGAGACACAGCCCACTGTCTCAAACACCTCAAATTCGATCCACGAACCGCCAGCCTTGCAGACCAGCGGTAAAGAGCCCACTAGAGAAGCTCGAATTCTTCCCCTTGAGCAGCAATCTGGTCACTCTGGTAAAAAGAGTCGATCTGCTGACAATGCATCTGCCTCCAATTCCAATGGCGACAATACCGAGTCCGGTGGTAATGGCAACAGCACAGGGTCAGGCACAAACACTACTCCCCCCATGACGACCTTGCCCGAGCAACGGCCCACACGGCCTCGTGATTTAGACCCTGATCGTGCTCAGGTTCCAGCCGAGAACATGGACTATATTCGCCATCTGGGCTTAGTACCTCCGGAGCTGCTAGCCGAACAACATAGTCAGGATGTGCACCCTGATGCCGAGGGATGGGTTTATCTGAATTTGTTGTGCAACTTGGCTCAACTTCATATGATCAATGTGACGCCCGACTTTGTCCGCTCAGCTGTTTCAGGAATAAGCACAAAATTTCAGCTATCTCCTGATGGCCGAAAGATTCGATGGCGAGGTGGAACAGAGGGAACAAGATTCAGCAGTGACAGCTCTGGATATAATTCTCAAAAGAGTCCATCTACAGACGACACTGAGGACGGAATGGAAAACAAGCGCAAGCGTCAGAAAACTGGGCGTTCCACAGGCGACGAGTTCCAGTCCGGAAGCTCAAGCAAAAATGGCTTGAAGTTTGACCCACAGCTTTGTGCTCCATCCGAAAGTTTCCATTACAAGCCCTTGTTCGCTCAGCAGGATTCATCGGGTGGCCAGACATCACTCGATGAAACCGTTTCTTCCTTCGGTCCTCCAGAGGAAAGTAATATTGGTGAATCGAGATGGGGGCTAAGTGGCTCCGGAGCCTCCAGCCGCAGGAAGCGCCGCCATGATGGTGCCATTATCTACTATAGCGGTGCTCCGTTCTGCACAGATCTATCTGGAGATCCCGGAGATATGTCGCCAACGACGCAGATGCGCGCTGCTGGTCAGACCCAGACAGATCAAGATAACTTCAAGGTCCCCCCATCACCTCTCCGACGAACAGATTCAGGTTCTTTCATCAACTATCGGCCGTTGACCGATCGTGGGCTCTTGTCTAGTCAGCAAAGTTCAGCGATGGATGTCGATAGTGAAGACCCCCCCAGCCTGACAGATGATGCCGACGATTTGAGCGATGTTGATCTTGACTTCACGTGGTCTGATAAGGCACAGTACATGCAGCACTTCCCTCTTGAGCCTTGCGGCTTAGGGGGAGTTTTACCAGAAGACCATTTCATGGTTGTTGTTTCAACCAAGCGACCTAAGCAAGACGATTTGTCTACGTTACCACAAGTTTGCGGTAGAAGGTTTAGTGAAAACACGGATGGTATCATTCGGCGATTGGCGACTATGTCGACGTCCTCGCCGGACTTGGGAGCTTCAAAATCGCTTCCTGCTACGCGTTCTCTCCCCATTGAGATCGAATACATGTCAGGCCGTATCAAGCGGCTGACACCAGTTTCGCTGCCTCCTCCTGCAATTTTCTTTCCGCCGTTCAGCCCCACCGAATCTACAGCCGATGACGATTATGATGATTCAGATGATGTCGACATGTCTTCGTCCTTGAGAGATCTTGTTGGCCAACGGACAGTGCAACGCCGTTCACACGGTTATCCTGATGGCGTTGATCTTAGCAGTGGCGACGAAGAAGGTGATGAACCTGATGATTCGCCCAATCAAAATATTTATGACATTAATCGAGACCCAAAGGCGTTGCCAAATCGGCCCCGACAAGCCGCACGCCGTACCAGTAGCGCTGCTGCGGCTGCTGGCACTGCTCGGGGCGCAAGTAAGAGTAACAGCGCCAACCCGGCGCTTTCACATGATGAGAGCTCTGTTGATACTGCTGGAGCGATTGAAAGTGGTTACAGCAGTAGCGAGGAAAGCGCTTAATTTTCACCTGTTATTCCAGGCCACTTATCACATATTTCATATTTCACGACTTGATCAGGGGTTACGGATTTCACGAATACGGAAGGCTAAAAAAGGATTTCTTGTATAATCTCTTCTTTACCTCTAGTCTCTGTTTTTAAGGGAAGGTTGCATTATTTTGCATTTAGCTTGGCGTTTATGAGGATGGATAATGATTCCCTGGATAATCTTTGTTACGAGATGAAGGGTTGCGCAAAACGGCGTGGGCCTGGGTATGAATTGTTCTCTATATTTCACAAGGATGAAACACTAGGGAACTTAGTGGCACATTGAGATACCAAATTTGTTGTTGAAACAATACCTTATTGTCTTGGTGGCCGTTGCGCGCTAGTTCTCATGAATGCTAATTGATTTTAACCGAGCGTCGGTACTGATAGTCCTCTTTGACTTGTGAATGATCCATCCATGATCTACTGATATAAAGCCATACTTCCAAACAATGTAATTGTTCAAACTGCCAACTTAATCAGTCCTCTTTCCTTTTTACAGGGGACTACATATCGTGCTGCTTATTTCCCCGCGGATTTAGATTTAATTGGACCCCTTGTTTAGCTGTCCTTGCCTGGAGCCAACTGCTTCTGCGTCACGTGAATCGATGCTCACGTCTCGCTCGTGTCATCATTCGATTTCTCCCATCGGAATGCACGGCGACCTGGATTCTACACATTCATCCCATTATCATGAAACATGGTGTATTTAACCAGCATGCTACCTTTGGCTCTGCTCGGCGCTCTCGCAAGTGTCCTGTGCAGAGCAGAAGATGTTAAAAACGTTGCCATCATTGGTTCGTACTTGATTTCGGTGTTTGAGAGACATGATTAAAACACAAACCCCAAGCTCCAGAAGTATTCCTTCACAGTGTTGCCGGTCAATCCATGTATCAGGACTGGCATATACTAACTTGGAGTGTAGGGGCTGGAGCTGCTGGGTCGTCGGCAGCCTTTCATTTATGGCAATATGCTATAGAAGAGGATATTGCTATTAATATCACCGTATTTGAAAAGACGGATCGCATTGGAGGCCGCACATTGACAGTCCCTGCGTATAATGATCCCTCTCTGCCCATCGAGCTCGGCGCGTCTATCTTTGTTGGTGCCAATCATATTCTTGCCAACGCCAGTGAACGCTACCATCTCCCAGTGAGCGAGCCCCACCGTCTCGAAAAGGATGATATGACTGTTATATGGGATGGCTACGAGTTCGTCTTCCAGACGACCGAGGGGTCCTGGGCATGGTGGGATCTGGCCAAGATGTTCTGGAGATATGGGCTCGCACCCTACAGGTCTAAACAAATCGTGGATGCTATGGTCAAACATTTCCTCAAGTTATACGAAGCCCCTTACTTTCCTTTCAAGTCGCTCACTCAGAGAGCCGAACAGTTGGGCTGGAATGAGATTACAAGTATAACGGGAGAACAGATGTTAAAGAGAAACGTAAGTTCAAACTGTTGAATTGGAAACAGGTGATAGCTAACTGGACAGGAAATTGATCCTCGTTTCGCTCGTGAGATCTTACAGGTTGGCACACGTGTCAACTATGCTTCAAACCTGGCTTATATTCATGGTCTGGAGACTCTGGTGAGTGCAAGATATGACCCCTTGCACGCTTCTTGCCTAATTACGATAGGTTTCGTTGGCAACCGACAACGCAATGTCTGTGGATAGCGGCAACTGGCGTATCTTTGAGCATATGGTGATAGAGAGCGGAGCTTCTATCTCTCGCAACATGACCGTGACTTCAATCGAAAAAGTCCAAAAGAAAGCTTGGTCATCTTCGCCAGTGTATGTCATCACAACGAAAGATGCCGGCTCAAAGGACGGCACTTCGAAACAATATGATGTCGAGTTTGACAACGTCATCATCGCCAACCCCTGGCAGTTCAGTAACATAAAAACTGGAGAGGGTGTTCTCGATCGCAAAATCGATGAGATCCCCTATACCAAACTGCACGTTACACTATTTGCATCACCATTGGAGCTTAGTCCCGAATTCTTTGGCTTGAAGGCCGGAAGCAAAGCGCCTGCTACTGTTTACACTACTCTTGGTGAAGACGAAGAACCAAGAAAGGGGGCCGAGGGAGTCGGTCGTACTGGCTTCTACTCTATTAGCACATTGAAATATCTCGTCAACCCTAAGACAGGTCAGAAGGAGCGTGTCTATAAGATCTTCTCGCCCACGCCCCTCACTGCCGATTTTCTCACACGTCTTTTGGGCACCGATATCCCAGACTCTGTGATTTCTGGAAAGTTACAAGACGATGCAAATGCTTCCAATCTTATCTCTTGGTATCATCCTCACTGGTTCAACTCTTACCCAGTTGAGCTCCCTCGTGTCACATTTGAGGACCCTATTATCGGCGACGGCATATACTACACGTCTGGTATTGAGAGCTTCGTGTCATGTATGGAAACAAGTGCTTTGATGGGCAAGAATGTGGCCCGGTTGGCTGTAGATAGATTTGCCGGTATTTCTCGCCCGGAACCACCTAATGAGTGGGAGGGATATGAAGCCGGCGAGGAAGAGGAGGAAAGCATTCGCGCTCAGGCTGAAAGTGAACTCTGATCGAAGCAAGGACATATACATTTGCCTCATCATTGTTGGGGATCCTGTATATGCTAGAATGAATTCAGCATCTGAGAGCGATGGCTGGAAGGCACATGTGGGAAATTCCATCAAACTATTGTATGCGTTTGGTTTTAATGAATTAAGATCTATGTCACTAGTATTACTAGCAGTTGACGTAGCTAATCAACATTGTCGTGAATCGCAGTTCAAGTATCTATATCTATGTGGTCATTTATATGGAGTAACTCGATAAAAAATATTATTATTCTTAAGAACAAAACATTATGCCAGAAATAGCTAACCTCAAGACTCCCTAAGTTCATACTGAGCATCCCTAGGTTCTTTTTTCTTTTTCGCTTAGAATAGAGATCTCGAGCTTTCTCTTTCTCCCAAGCCAATCTCCTCCTAATGCTCCTTGGCCTGGGCTGTAATTATTTCCAGATACCCCTGGTCCACTAGCCTCAGTGGCGCACGTCAGTTGTGGCAAACATTCAATGACCCCTCCAACCCAGGTTTCTTCAAAGTACACAAAGCAAAAGGCGGGAGGCAGTCACGGCCTTTTTTCTCATACAGTACTTCCTCCATGTTATGACGCACTCGTCCTCCTTACACCCTCAAAGCTTGATCCTGCCTAAGCTGTTGGTTCAGTCAATGCTGGCCGCCTTTGGTGCAATTTCCATTTCCTTTTTGCTGTCACAAGACAACGTGGGAGCTACCTGCCGTGCCTAAAGAAATACCCAAGGTGCCCTAGTGAGCGAATGGGAAGGTTCTTGACCCGGTTCTGCCTGTTCCTGCTCTGGTGTCCTGTCACGTCACAGCTTTTTTATTTGTTTGTCGTGCACCGACAGCATCGTCGACTTTCACCTTCCTCCTTTCCTCATCTTCCATCCTAAGCTTAGGGAAATACTCCCCACGACTCCCTGATTCAGCGCCTACAACAATAACATCAACCGTGCAAGTGTCTCATCACAGACTTTCTTTCTATCTTTGCCCGATTCTTTCCTCTGTTGAGAGCCCAGGGTCAGCATGTTCGCCTTACGAGGAAGTAAGTAACTGCCCCGCATCATCCCTGCTCCCACCTTACAACCAACATCTACATATTAAGCATAAAGAGGAACAGCCTCGCTGCTTTGTGCCTTATCTCTACCATCGCTTCTGCATCTCCCCCCTTCTGCCGCGCCGCTTTCGTTCTCGTGCAAGTCTACTAACACTATCGTTCTCAAGTCGGCAAACTGATATTCGGTTCAAGCACGCAGGAGGCATTGATCGAGCTTCCACAGGGACAGCTCTACCTTGTTCGACCTTTATCTCCTAAGGGATACTCTGAACTCATTTTTCGAGACTCGGCTATCCGCATTCGACGCACAAACCAGGAGTTCCAGTATCAACTCGTTGTTCAGCGCGTCTTTGAAGAAGGTGAAGCAGAGCTTCTTGCCGAAGAAGAGGGTGAAGACGCCGAAATCGACGCCCTCGCATCTGAGAAAGACGAGAAGACCTTCCTACTCGACGAGGCTCTATATTTCCGTTCCGAGATTCGCGAGAGTGGTGACAAAGTTCTTGCTTGGAAGGATTTAAGCGGTGATACCGGTGACCTCTTCCAGTTCGTTTGCGACCCTTCCGTTACATCATCCCAGGTACAGCAGTTTGTGCAAGTTGCTCAGCAGTGCCAATACGAGCGCAAATATCGCAAGTCGCATTCTACAGCAACGGCCTCCGACCTTCAGCAGTTCGAATTCGAAGAAGAGGACCCGATACCGCCTGCTAGTCCCCTGCATAGCCCAACGTTGGCTCGATCTATCGAATCTGTCGACGATATGTTGTCTAAGACCCAGGCAAACTCCGCTGCTAAGCGTGAGCCTGCCTTCGTGCCCGAACAGGAAATTGAAGCCCCAGTCTTGACTGGTTCAGACGCTAGCAACCCTCCCGAGGCTCTAGAGATATATGCCGCTGTTGTGGCTGAACTGCATGTTTTTGACCCTCAGCCTGGTCATTTCGCTCTCGTTGACGATTCCGTCATTGCTCAAGTCTCAGAAGTTGGAAAATGGGAGTACTGGCTCCAGATTGAGTCGAACGATAAGGCGTATCTGGGTACACCTGTCGTCGCTGACTTCAACCCCGTCTTTGATTTCGAATATCTCTCTTTCGTCTTCAATCATTTCAGTAGTGATGGAACTGCGCGATCATGGCTTCTCAGATTTAAGGATCAGCCCACCTTGGAAAAGTTTCAAGAAGCGATTATGCAAGCCATCTGGGAGAAGCTGAACGAGACCAAGTGGACGAAGATGCAAGACAAAGAACGCGAATATGTTCTTGACGCATTTGGCGACCTAACTATGGAAGACGCGCCTTCCACAGAGGAAGAGGAGGAGGAAGAGGAGGAAGAGGAAGAGCTGGAGGATGATCGCGCGCAAGAGGAGGAGTACGACACAGATGAGGAGAACGATAGTAGCTTCCCCAAGAACGCTGATGGTGAGGTCAACTCGCAATTGGCTGTCGGTTACAAGCACGACCGCTCATTCGTCGTTCGCGGCTCCAAGATCGGTGTATTCAAACATACACCTAACAATCACCTCGAATTCTCCACGAACATCTCCAAAGTCACAACTCCTTCAGGCAAACTCATGAACCCGAAGAAAGTCATGCTGCACAGCGAGGATCGAGATCTCATCTTACAGAATGAAATTGATCCCAACAAGCTCTACCGTATGGACCTTGAATATGGAAAGGTTGTGGATGAGTGGAACGTTCACGATGACATCCCCGTCGTCACATTTGCCCCCGAGAACAAGTTTGCGCAGATGACCTCTGAACAGACCTTCCTGGGCGTCTCAAACAACGCTCTTTACCGAGTTGATCCCCGTCTATCTGGTAACAAGCTTGTTGATGCCGATATGAAGCAATATGCCTCGAAGAACGACTTCTCTGCCCTCGCAACTACTGAAAAGGGCTACATTGCTGTTGCAAGTAACAAGGGTGACATTCGTCTCTTTGACCGGCTCGGCATTCGAGCCAAGACACAGCTTCCTGCACTTGGTGACCCCATCACTGGTATTGACGTTTCTGCCGATGGCCGATGGATCTTAGGAACAACCAAGAACTACATCCTGCTTGTTGATGCCCAACAAAAGTCTGGAAAGAACGAGGGCAAGCTTGGTTTCGAGAAGCCTTTCGCTGCCAATGACAAGCCGCATCCTCGACGACTCGCACTTACCCCTGAGCATGTGGCCCAGTTCTACCATGAGACTGGAAAGTCCGTTGACTTTACTCCCGCCAAATTCAATACTGGAGAGGGTGCGGAGGAGACAAGCATCATCACTGCAACTGGCCCCTACATCATCGAATGGAACCTGAAGCGGATCCTTCGGGGTATGAAGGCAGCTTATAAAATTAAGCGTTATGAAGAGGAGGTCAAAGCGGACGACTTCAAATACGGCTCAGACAAGAACGTCATTGTTGCTTTGCCCAACGAAGTAAACATGGTTGCAAAGCAAAGTCTAAGGAAACCCACCCGCGAGAGCATCATTGGCAACGTTCGACTGAGTGATTCGCGTCGAGGTTCTGGACGCATCGGGACCCGAGACAGTGGCCGATACAAACTTGGAAAGGACGATATTGTCAATGCGCCTTATTGAGTAGAACAGAGTGGCACTTGCGTAATTGCGGTTGATTCGGCAAATTAGTGTAGTACTTCGAAGTGTTACGACTTCATGATGAGGTCCGATGGGAGTATTGGTGGACTTTGGAATTTGTAATGTGGGTTTCCATAACCTGTCTGCTCTCTTTTTGTTTAGATACCATCTGCTGATGCATTTGCATCGCAACCAATGCACCTTCTTCGAGTCCCTTGCAGCTTGCATTTGCCCACACATTGACATTTTAGGCCACCATGGGCAGAAATAGAAAGAGTCCCATTGACTTTTTACATATGCACACATGATGATGACTCATATCTGAACATTTAAACGCAGTCGACACACTTAGAAACAAGGCCGATGACTTCATGATATTTTTTTATTATAGCAAAAGAAAAACAATTTATAACGAGACCCAAATCATGACCGCTTGCCCAAACCGTGAACTCGTTCTTGCACACCAATGTCCTTCCCAGCTACGAGACAATTTTTTATTGAGAAGGCTCTGTCTGTGAATCGGCTTCCTTCTTCTCGTCTATGGTTAATAGTTCCTCGGCCTTCTTCTCAAGATCAGCGACAGCCTGTTGGGCTTTCTGCTCCAGTCCGATTACAGCCCCAGAGACGTTGCGCAGGGTCTTGGGCTGAGAACCCTCAGTGCTAAGACGGGTCATTTCAGAGACAAAGCTAGCACCCCACCAAGCACTTGTGTACTTGAAAACATAACGTTCGAGCTTCTTGTAATTGGCTTCACGTTGTTCGGGGCTCATGGTAACAGCGTCATGTAAAGCATTGGCAAGCTCTTCTGTGTTCCAAGGATTGACGATAAGACTGCCATTAAGCGATTGAGCAGCACCTGTGAATTCGCTCAAAATCATGACGCCGTGGTTCTTCTGCTGTGTCGCAATGTATTCGTAGGACACCAGGTTCATACCGTCTCGAGTGGATGAGACCAAACAGACGTCAGATACAGCATACAGGGCAGTAAGCTCGTCGAAAGTGACGGATTGATGGAGGAAGTGAATGGGCATAAACTCAATGGTGCCAAACTTTCCGTTGATACGGCCGACCAGTTCGTTAACCACAGCACGGAGATTCTGGTACTCTTCGACGTCTTGTCGCGAAGGAACAGCAACCTGAACCAGGACGATTTTGCCAATCCATTCCGGATGTTCGGTCAGGAACACTTCAAGAGCGTGCAGTTTCTGAGGGACGCCCTTGATGTAATCCAAGCGATCGACTCCAACGACGAGCTTGACACCTTCGAACTTTCGGCTGAGTGCAGCGATACGTTCTTGCACTTTTGGCTTCTTCAGCCCTTCAACAAAGTTATCGGGATCGATTCCAATGGGGAAGGCACCAACTGTCACAAAACGGCCATTCCAATCGACACCGTTGGGGGTCGTGGGACACTCGAGAATGCGGGAGCAACTGCTAAGGAAGTGACGAGCGTAGTCGTATGTATGGAAACCGATAAGGTCGCAGTCAAGAAGCCCAGTAAGGAGTGCTTCTCTGACAGGCAGGATCCTGTAAATTTCACTACTGGGGAACGGTGTATGGAGGAAGAAGCCAATCTTGACATTCTTTTTCGATTCCCCGATCTCCTCACGAAGCATCTGTGGGAGGAGCATCAGATGGTAGTCATGAACCCAGATAAGATCACCATCTTGCACATCCTTGATAACGGTCTTGGCAAAGAGGCGATTGACTTCTTGATATGCGGCCCAAGCGGACTCGTCGAATGTGATCTCACCAGGGTGGTAATGGAAAAGAGGCCAAAGAATTGAGTCTACAAGCATCATGTCAGGAACATCCTTGTAACATCGAAATCGTACTACTTACTAGAAAACCCATTGTAATGTCGGTCGGCAAGTTCATCGTCGATAAAAACCGGGTGCGCGCCGTACTCGTCTTTCAGTCGTTGCTTCATACCCTCGACTTCGTTGTCAGGGACCTCGAGACCAGGCCAACCATACCACTGGAAACTGGTGGTTTTGCTAAGACCACTGAGACCCGTGACGAGACCCCCAGAAGACATAGAAAATGAATAACTACCATCTTCTGATCGCTTAATTGTGATGGGCAATCGATTGGAGAGCAGCAACAGGCGGCCTGGGGCAGCTTGGCCATTCTCATCGACAGCACCGGGCATGGTGACGGTATTGGAAGAAATAATCTCAGACGGGGATATTTGGGGTGTTCAGAAAGTTGAAAGAAGATAACTTGAGAAAGAAAAAAGTCGGACTGTAGTCGGCCTCGTCGCGGTTCTTTGTGGTCAATGGCCGATGATCGATTGTCGATTGTGGAGGGGCAGGGAATTGACCTGGCAGCTGGTTTAGAGCCGAGAGGCGTAGATCCCCAGTAGTGGAGTTAGTGTAAGGAGCTTTGGGTTGTTGAGTAGCGAAACGATGACGCTATTGCGCGTAAGGTCAGTCGATTTATTGGAGAAGAGCGTGGTAAGCGGAGACGGTAAAGAATTGAAGAAACAAGGACTTTCTGTTGATATCAAGAGTCAGATGTGTCTGAAATGTGGAGAAGCAGTAGAGCGAGTTGATCTAAAGAAGATCAATAAGATCAAGCTTCAGATGAGAAGTTGAGAGAAGTTAGAGGGGAGAGATCAGGTTCTGATAAAACAGCAGAAGAATATCACAGAAACTGGCCAGAAGCATGGATGGGGCTGAGGGGAAGAAATGGCAGGTGAGGGGCATCTGACACCTGCTCGCAACCAGTCGTCAGTCTACTGAGTCCAGGCTGGTCAGGTAGCATGGAATAATTGGTAGTTAGGTTGTTTGCGTACCTTACCGAACAACACTTGTTGTTTACCTTACCTTGTACCTGATTTTGATAACACCTTTTAGTTCATGAGTTGGGGAGTGCGCTAACAAACTTACGATTCAATTTAACATGTGCAAATTCGTGCACATTTGTAGTAACATGGGACATGAATAATATGAGATCAATAACTTGTTCTCTCGTGCTCCTCTTTATTTCACTCGCCACATACCTGATCTGATCACATTGCAATATGTAATGTCTCATGCTTTCTTTTCCCTTAGTAGGTATTATCCCGCAAGCCGATAGCTTCCGCCTCCCGGTTGTATTCTATTCGCTGAGATCGAGATCCGGGCCGTTTACCTTAAGATGAGAATGAGGTGGAGGGAGGCATTTACACGGGCCGGGTCGCTATCGCCAAAAGAAAACACCACTGGACGCCCAACACCATCCTCCGCCTGTCAATCACCCACGAGGCATTGACTTTCAGTACAGTGACATGAGAAGAGTGCCAGCAACGAATCGAGAGGTCCGGGTGTGAACTAGCTCTCCACTTCTATACATCTGCCTATTTATTGGTGCTTCTAAAAGTCTGTAGCCCGGAGGTGTTTCCGGAGACGGGGTCGATTCATCGGCCACTATACGGGCATCGCGGACAGTATCTTTTTTCTCGATATTTTCAAGGAATTCAGTAGATGGCAGAAACCGGTAAAGAGTGTGCGGGTCTCCACATCTGTGATAGAGAGCTTGATTCTGTGACTCTATTAACAGCCAGCCTACCTACCTACCTAGTAGGGGAGGAAAGAAAACTCAGGACCTTGATCCTATGGAAATGACGAAAAGACTTAGGTAACTTAGCATAAGTTTAGGATACAGTTTCCTGAGTTTATTTTCATATCCTATACCAAACCACGATGTTTTCTTGCTCCCCTGAGCCAGCTGTAGTGATGGAAAAGTGACGCATTCACTCTTCGTCCGGGTTCTATCAGATGGTTACAAGGCCCAAGTACTGTATTGCCTGCCGCCGGTCTACGCGAAGTGGGCTTTACTATTACACACAGGCCAATGAACCAAGTGCTAATGGGGACAAGGCATGTTTTTTCCTCGATGGGGTTCATCGACCGGACCAGAACGTCCTGAACCTCTGTCACCATCCTTTGAAAGACAAAGCCCGAAAATAAGACAATTGAAGGGCGCCTGCACCCAGACTTATCACTGGGCTGCAACCACCTGCCCGTCTCAAATTGGTGTGGTTTGCATAGCCGCCGGCCCGGTTGCCGCAGCTAGATTGCTCCCATATCTAGGTATCTTTAGTCTAAATATGAGTATCTGGGGACTGTAGCTGCTTTTCGAAACATTTGCTCGTTGTGTTATCTGATCGATTATGAGTACTGTTTGGTGATCCGTAATAATTAAAAAGTTACAGGCATACTATGATAATTCTACGTCGGTGTTGGCAATGTTAGAATCACCAAAGTCAAGCTCACCTCAGGCGTTTGGCATAGGTAAACATAAATGAAAGGAATCTCCCATTCAAGATTCTCTTCGTTTGCGCGGAAACTATTCTGTAAAATTCCAATATGTAATAGATATGGATATCAATGAAGCTTGTTGATTTCCTGACCTCACCAAACTTGAGGTTTATAGCGGAAAAGCATTCCATGACTTTCATGCGTGAAAGTTGGATGTCCATGTGTGTCTTTATTCTTTCACATAATGGAGGTGTGTGTATTAGACATAGCTGCGACTGCTCTACTCAGATATGGTATATAGAGACATAGGAAGGAATCCTTTGCTTCCTCCTAAATATATCATAAAAGTACATTCTGAACTTTTCACCCAAAGTTATCATTCTCACTCTACCTAGCAGCTATTACAAGTATGCTCCAAGTACTAACCTAGACTACCTACTAACCTTACCCCATAGGTAGGTACTAAACTAAGGTAGGTAGGTTAGTAGTTAACATGCAGCGGACAGAAATCTTATCTTATCGATAAGAGCAACTAAATCTAGGATTTTTTCTAGAATCAACACGCCATCGCGACATTAGGCACAGCTACCAACTGCACGCGCAACGTGCATCTCCTGTCGCAAACATGGAGCAATCTCAAGACTTCAAGTCGCTCCAGGAGAGTGTCCAGAAGTCACTGATTTCAACAATTAAAACCGTGAACCGAATCGCCGCCGAAGACCTAAGTTTCCAACGGACAGTCAATCCTAGCGTGGGCCA